AGCAGAGCCTGTAAGACCCTGTGACTCTGTGAAGTTGTTAGGGCTTTCAGGTGTGGTGAGGAGTGGAGCTGGAGAAGAATGCGAGCATTGGGCTCTTGGCTGGAGCTTCTGTTGGTCCTGTACTCCAGGCAGCAGGATGAGACGTGAGTTAAGTTACAGTTGTCAAACCTCCCCTCTCTGAAGGAGGTGGAGGGAAAGGGGGTGTTTGTGGCAGTAACAGGTGACTCTGTGAAGTTGTTAGGGCTTTCAGGTGTGGTGAGGAGTGGAGCTGGAGAAGAATGCGAGCATTGGGCTCTTGGCTGGAGCTTCTGTTGGTCCTGTACTCCAGGCAGCAGGATGAGACGTGAGTTAAGTTACAGTTGTCAAACCTCCCCTCTCTGAAGGAGGTGGAGGGAAAGGGGGTGTTTGTGGCAGTAACAGTGGTGACGTTGCTGTGGGACAGGGGGTTCCTGGGCAGAAGTGGGCTGTGCGGTCAGCTGGGAGATGGGAGCTGGTTTCCGAGGCTCCCTTGGAGCAGGGAGTGTCTGGGCAGGAGGGTGGCTGTGGCACGGGGTATCCCCGCAGGCTGTCCCCAGGCTGCAGTGCCACTGTTGCAGCAAGCCTGGGGACCCCCAGATGAGGTACCTCCCCAGGAGCTGGCAGACGTGCTTTCTGAAAAACAGCAGAACCCTGCTGCTGCAGGACCTTGAGGTGGGGGAGAGGATTGTCTTGGGCTTAACTGGAACCAAATGGCTTCATGGTGAAGTGTCCAAATTGGGAAATTTAAACTGGAGAATGAGACCCTGCTGGCTTCCCCTGTCAGCCAGGGTGTTTCTGTGCCTTGGGTATAAAACTGGGAGGATGGCACTCAGATGGTGCCACGTGGTGGCAATGGGAGAAGGTGCTTGGCCCTCAGAGATGGCAGGACAAGCATGTCACTGCCATGGATGGCTAATGTTGCACGTGGCACCAGCCTGTGCTTGCACAGGAGAGGCCCTCAGGGCATGTGATATGCTTAGCTCCTGTCCCGTCACACTGTGGCCAATGTTGTGGCCTGTGGAGATATGTCTGTAATGTGTTTAGGACTTGCGCTTTGTGAAAGGGGTGACTGGGGTGGCTGTGGGCATGGAGAACGCCTGCAGACCTTGTAGGACAACATTGTGTTGGGTGATGTAGGGAGGAGAATGCCTTTTACCTCCCAAACTCCTGACTCAACCCCAAACCAGCCTGAAAGAAGATGCTTTTGAGGCCCCTGAACAGGTCCATGGCCTGCGGATCAAACCCAGCGGGCAGCTGTTATCTCCCGCTCCCTCCTTGCATGGCAGATGCTGCAGCATGTGCTTGGCGGGAGCAGACAAGCTTTCCTGGCCCGGCACAGGCATCCCTTGGGAAGCGCAGGATGCCTTCCCATGCATCACATTGCTAATAACTTGAAACCACCATTCCTGCATGCTGTATGTATTTATCCCTACATACTGACTAGAAGTGTCCAGGCTTCAGAAATGTGCTCGCTGTGTACGAAATCACACTCTGGCGGCGATCTAATTAGCTGGCTCCTTGGGATCTTGCCACAGGGCACGTAGAACCGGGCCTCCTGATTTCCTCTTTATTTGCCCCTTCTTCCAGCTCTGAATGACTCCCAAGTTTCCTCCTGCCGCTCTGGGACAGCCCTCTCGGCTGAAAGGGTCTGATTGCTGGAGTAAGGATGAAATAGCCATTAGAGTGTTTGCTACTAATTGATTATTGCTTGTCGCTGCTCAGAAGTGGAAGGGTTCAATTTGCAATGTAACAGGCTTACCAGTGCTAAGTAACTCTGGCTTACGGCTACAGGGACCTGAAGGCTGATGGTTACTTGCTGCTTGTAGCGCTGGTCTTCTGGGGACGTGGGAGGGCTGAGCCCCCTGTCTGTGTCACACCTT